GAAAACAGTTTTCACATTTATAAAGTGATAGTCCACCCAAAAATGAAGACTCATGTCGTTCCAATCCAAACCTTTAGTATGTCTTCTGCAGAACACAAAGGAATATATTCTGAAGAATAACCAGACAGCTGGTTCCTATTAACTCCCTCTGTTTTTTGTATATTTATATATATATATATATATATATATATATTTTTTTTTAAAACAGTGGAAGTGTGTGTATATATATATATATATATGGGGGCCAAACAGGAAATAATTAAATGTTGGCCCCCCCATAATATGCCTTTAAGTGTGTATATGCATGTATGTGTGTGTAGATATATATATATATATATATATATATATATTTTTATATATATATATATATATATATATATATATATTTTATGTATGTGTGTGTATATATATGTATGTGTGTGTGTATATATATATATATATATGTTGTAATTAAAAAAATATAAAAAATAATTACATACATAAAATTATTTTTTATATTTTTATATATATATATAAAAAATAATGTTATGTATGTAATTATTTTTTATATAATTTTTTTATTACAACATATATATACATACTGTTTATAGATATATATATACACTCACCGGCCACTTTATTAGGTACCCCATGCTAGTAACGGGTTGGACCCCCTTTTGCCTTCAGAACTGCCTCAATTCTTCGTGGCATAGATTCAACAAGGTGCTGGAAGCATTCCTCAGGGAGTTTGGTCCATATTGACATGATGGCATCACACAGTTGCCGCAGATTTGTCGGCTGCACATCCATGATGCGAATCTCCCGTTCCACCACATCCCAAAGATGCTCTATTGGGTTGAGATCTGGTGACTGTGGAGGCCATTTTAGTACAGTGAACTCATTGTCATGTTCAAGAAACCAATTTGAAATGATTAGAGCTTTGTGACATGGTGGAAGTAGCCATCAGAGGATGGGTACATGGTGGCCATAAAGGGATGGACATGGTCAGAAACAATGCTCAGGTAGGCCGTGGCATTTAAACGATGCCCAATTGGCACTAAGGGGCCTAAAGTGTGCCAGGAAAACATCCCCCACACCATTACACCACCACCACCAGCCTGCACAGTGGTAACAAGGCATGATGGTTCCATGTTCTCATTCTGTTTACACCAAATTCTGACTCTAACACCTGAATGTCTCAACAGAAATCGAGACTCATCAGACCAGGCAACATTTTTCCAGTCTTCAACTGTTCAATTTTGGTGAGCTCTTGCAAATTGTAGCCTCTTTTTCCTATTTGTAGTGGAGATGAGTGGTACCCGGTGGAGTCTTCTGCTGTTGTAGCCCATCCGCCTCAAGGTTGTGCGTGTTGTGGCTTCACAAATGCTTTGCTGCATACCTCGGTTGTAACGAGTGGTTATTTCAGTCACTGTTGCCCTTCTATCAGCTCGAACCAGTCTGGCCATTCTCCTCTGACCTCTGGCATCAACAAGGCATTTCCGCCCACAGAACTGCCGCTCACTGGATGTTTTTTCTTTTTCGGACCATTCTCTGTAAACCCTAGAGATGGTTGTGCGTGAAAATCCCAGTAGATTAGCAGTTTCTGAAATACTCAGACCAGCCCTTCTGGCACCAACAATCATGCCATGTTCAAAGTCACTCAAATCACCTTTCTTCCCCATACTGATGCTCGGTTTGAACTGCAGGAGATTGTCTTGACCATGTCTACATGCCTAAATGCACTGAGTTGCCGCCATGTGATTGGCTGCTTAGAAATTAAGTGTTAACGAGCAGTTGGACAGGTGTACCTAATAAAGTGGCCGGTGAGTGTATATATATATATATGGTGTTGTAATAAAAAATATTCAACCCCCATTACAAATCAGACTTTTACTTTTGTTTGATTTGTTCATTGCAAAAAGCTGATTGAAATAGCTCAACACAACAAATCAAATGGTTTCCCCAAATTCAACTAAAAATGCAACTTTTAACGACTTCTACAGCCTCAAAATTATTCAACACCCTGAATAGAATCTCTCACAACAGTCTACAAAACAGGTGTTGTCTCAAGCACACCTGATGCAACTAATCAAGGGCCTCATTAATTGCACCAGGTGAGCTTGAGCTAGAACACATGAAAAATCTGAACTGGGTTTGAGTGTGTCACATTTTAATGCATGTAAGAAATATGGCTAAGGCCACATTTACACATAGCCCGGTATTTAGAGAAACAAATATCTCCCCCCCCCCCCCCCCCCCCCCCCCCCCCCCCCCCCGTTTTCAATAATAACATCGTGCACACAGCATCGTTTTTAAAAAGTTGTCATTTACATCAACCCGCATAAATATGCAGTCGAGCGCCATCATAACTATGCCAAACCTATGGGCGGCAGTGTAGGGAGAAGGATAAAGCCATGCAAGCCAATCAGAATCCTCAGAATGTGACGTTTGAGAACCTAAAACGTTTCTCCCAGTTGACACGGCAACACATAACCAGCGTTATCAGAAATCTCCACTTTGGCCGAATTTTTTTGGAAATAATCATTTTCTGTGATAAAAACTGGGTTTTCGTGTAAATGAGAGGCCAAACCGCAGGGAAATATCTGCGTCTTCCCTTCGTGTAAACGGGGCTTAAGTCAAAAGAACGGTCAAAAAGTTAAGAGAATATATCATCGCCATTCACAACCAAGTAACAGGATTCAATAATACATAGCGAAGGCACTGGAGACACTGTTGGAAGCATGGTTCGCAATTTCAAAGTTAATGGAACAGTGGTACCGTAACTCTACTTGGATGGGGCAGAAAAATGAATTTATCAATGGCTGCAGCCAGATTTCTGAGAAGGCAAGTTCAGAAAAACCCTCTAGTGGCTGCAAAAAACCTGCAGCAAGACTTGGTGGCAGCAGGCACTGAGGTTTCAGCTTGCACAGAAAGGCGCGTAATAAACGCATGTGGTTTCCATGCCAGAACTCCACTACTGACCCATAAGCACAAGAAAAGTCGGCTCCAATTTGCTCAAAATCATATAAATAAGCCACAGAAGTTTTGGCATTCTGTTCTGTGGAGCAATGAAACAAAACTGGAACTTTTCGGCCCTATGGATCAGCGGTATGTCTGGAGGAAGAATAATTAAGCATATGCTGAAAAGAACACTGTTTACAGTTAAGCATAGTGGTGGCTCGGTGATGATCTGGGGCTGTTTTGCGTCATCTGGCATAGGTAACCTGCGTGTGGAAGTCAATGTGGATTCATTGAAGTATCAGGAAATCCTAGAAGGCCGTCATTGGACCTTCCAACAGGACAAAGATCCCAAGCATACCTCAAATCCCACCAGGGCTTAGTTGCAGAAGAAGTCCTAGAAGATACTACAGTGGCCATCACAGTCACCTAACTTGAACTCCATAAGGAATCTCTGGTGATATTTGAAGGCGGCAGTTGCAGTGTGCAAACCCCAGAATATTACTGATCCGGAGGCCATTGCTCATGAGGAATGGGCCAAGATTCCTCAGAAACGCTGCTAGAAAGTTGTCTGGTTATACATCTTGTTTGCAGCAGGTCATAACAGCAAAAGGGTGTTCTAGTACTAAAGATGCTTGCCATGAAGGGGTTGAATAATATTAAGACTGCAGAAGTCATTAAAAGTTGCATTTTCAGTTGAATTTGGGGAAACCACTTGAAACATTTGTTGTTTTGAGTTATTTCAATTACTTTTGTTTTATTTGTTCATTGCAAACAGCTGAAAGTCTGTAAATTTTGCCAATAAACCTGATTTGCAATGGGGGTTGGATAATTCTGATTACAATGGTGTGTGTGTGTGTGCATATATCTATATATATCAGATTTTAAATGTACACAATGCACGTTACGTAAAACACGATACATTACACGATAAATGTGTACTAAATGTGCTAAAATTTACAATGTCACTCATTTTGCATGCTCTTAATAGGACCCCAATGTGCTGATTGGACAAACTGACAGTGTTATAACTGACCCACATTCTCATAAATCTATTGCATAACTTAAAATAAAATATCTAAATAACAAAACGTCCAATGTGTTATATATATTCTATATAAGTAATTCAGCTGTATTTGTTGAAACAATCAGATATTTAGATTTCCTTCTTTATGTCAGTATTATTTTTAACTGTATTTTAACAGTAAACTTTGAGAAAAAGCACATCTGACTAATTTATAATGCCTTAGGCTTTCTTTTAAAATTCTTTACTCCAAATTTTTGGAATTTTTTTAATACATAATACACTGTTGTCTGTAAAAAACAAAACAAAAAAACCTGTATTTAAAGGTTTCATCATAGACCATCCCTCCTTGTCATAATGGATAATGCCTACCATTATCTTGGATCACATAATGCCAATTGTCTAGACAATGAAAGCCAATGGTGCTTAGTCTGTTATCTGAAGATTGAACCATAAAACAGTAATTTTAATTATACAGTAATTAACAAACGTACAATGTCTAAACCCTCATTCTGGAATCTTTATCCCTCTGCCAAAAGCAGCACACATGAAACAGCAGAAAGTCCCGCTCAGTGTGTAATGTTTGTGTGAGTTCATGATGTTCTTCCTAGGGAAACCCCACCTCTGTTCTTTAAAGTTTGCCACCATCTTGTGGTATCAAAACAGTAATGACATGTGTTTGACAGACATGATATATTACTTGTAAATAGAAGTCAATCACACACATAATTGTTACAATATTCCTTACAGCTGAAAGAGCTCTTTCATTGCTTAATTTTACACAAGTCATTTCAGCTCTCTATACACATTTTTATTGTTTAATGTTTAGGCATGCTTTTGCAAAGGTATGAGCTAAATCTGTGAAATTTTAGGCAATGAAGTTGGTAATTACTCTTGGATTGCATTAGGGAAACTCTTTCATTTTATGAATGTGGAGGTGCTTGCGTTTGTAATTTTTTAGCATGAAGAGCATGTTTATCTTAAAAATGTATTAAAACTGGGGGAAAACAGCACTCGTGCAAACAACGGCATACTTTTTCTTTACTTTATTTGAAAATGGTTAATACCAACAGTAAAAATAAATGACTATAAAATCTATAAATAATAATAAAAAAAACATTCTGCACACAATTCGGTGACACTTTGCAATAACTTTTCGTTTGTTAAACATTAGTTAACTGCATTAGTTAACATGAACTAACAATGAACAATACAAGAATTTTACAATTTTAATACATTTTTAAGATGAACACTAGTTAATGCACTGTCAATAAACATTAATAAGGGTAAATAAATGCCGTAAGAATATATTTGCTCATTTATAGTTCATGTTTGTTAATGCATTAACTAATGTTAACAAATGAGACTGTAAAGTGTTAACAATATGGTAAAGTATAAAAACTAAATATCAACGTATGCCTATAATATATTTTTAATTTTAAGTTAAGAATGATCTAGACTGAGGTACCTTAAAAAAATGTTATTATTAACATTTATTTAACGGTTTATATTACTATTACATCAATTTCCTTACATACCGTCCTTAAAATATTTTCCTTAGAACATTCCCATTTTAATATTCCTGGGATTTCCACTTGCAGATATCAGAGCATTGAGTCAGACGATCATGTCTTAAACTGCTGCTAGGGCTCAGTGAAATCAGGCATTAGGAAGCCATTGAAAGGGTCGGTTGCACCATCATCACCGATATCCTGAGGAAAGTCTTCCTCGCTGTCACATTCTTGGCTGTCAGCCCCGGGAGGGCACTCAGTTGAGCGGCTTTCGCTCTCCACTGCACTGCTGTTGGACTCAGTGCTTTCGCTGCTGCTGCTGCTGCTGCTGCTGCTGTTGCTTGTACTATACTCAGCACCTTCAACACTATGACTGTGCTCAGTGCTTTCACTTGTGTCGGCACCGTTATTCTCTTCCTTTGTGCTCAGAACAACTGTTTCCTGGCTTTCACTTGATTCACTGCTTTCGCTTTTTTTTTGACACATCACTAGTGGATTTGATGTCTGGCTGGCTGGTCGCTTCCACTTTGTTGCTGTTGTTTGTATGGACCCATTTGAGGGTGTAGATCCAGCCCTGTATGAATGCATCATGATGGTCATTAATCTAGTGTAACCACACATTTTGTTTGATGCATACAATTCGATGTTCCTTACCCTACGGACATTCTCTTTACTGCTTTGAGTGTTATCCGATGTCAGTGCAGTCTCGCTTTTTCCAATCTAAATAAGCATAGATAAAACATAGGACCGTATAAACAGAGAATCCATTTCTATGCAATGTATAGGCTTTAGAGCTTTTTCTTTGTTGTTAGATTAGAGCAACATAACTTACCAGGCTTTCCACGGAATGGCTTTCGCTCTCTTTAGAGATCTTGAAACAAAAATTATATATAAAAAAGGTTGAAATTTTCAGTCATATTCATCTGTTTAGTGGTTTTGAAAATTTGTGAAAAGATATGAACAGTAATTATTATTTATACCGTTTCATCCGAGTCAGATTCAAGCGATTCTGAGCTCTGTCAAGAAAACAGAAATTGAAGTGAGTCTGTATCCTTAACTGAAATATATTTAGTATAGCCATTAAATTTGTTGACATGCCTAATAGTCTTTGCACTTACATTGCTGTCGGAGGCATTTTCCTTAGACTTCTGTAAAATAAAAATGTAATTTTATATAAATTAATATTGTTTGACCTCATAAAGGCAAATACTATTAAAAGTCTAAATCCAAGTTTTTTTTTCTCTGGTTTTTCACAGCAGAACTTTTGCATTACATGCATGCATTAGTAGCCTATACAGTTGGATATTTTTGGTATGAGCAAATACAAATATTCTCCTATATGATATCAGGTGAGAGAACTCTTTTGTCATACTGTGAAGACGTACACAGCTGTCTCTCCGTCCAGATACAAATTTAAGTTTATTTTTGCACATGGCATGGAATTTGACTGGAAGCGTACCTCTTCTGAAGGTTCTGAGGTATTACTCTGGTCGGAGGATTCAGATATTGAAGAGCTTTCCGACTGGAAAAGATTATAAGAACAGATTTACTTAAAGCACTCTTAAAGTTAACACACAGTTTCTTGAAATGAAACCCAGCATCACTTACAGAGTTGGATGCATGTTGAATCATCTCCATAGCCATTTTATGCAAGATCTGTGTGATGTAATTCAAAGAAGGAAAAATCTTTACTCCTTGAAATGTACGGAAAGACCATTTAAATGCTTTTTTAGGTTATTCTCTGCATACTCACTGGATTAGCATAGGCTGCTCCCAGCAGACATAGAATCAGTATGGCAGGTTTCATTCTGAAATACAAAAATCTGTTATGTTTTAAGAGTTCTTGAAACCTTTTTGCGTAAAAATAATAAATAGGGTTTGAGGACCTTACCTTGCTCTTCTTTTAGTCCAAATGCAAAGTCCAAGAAAGCAGAGGAGATCGACTAAATGAACAAGTGTTTACAGCTGAAGCTATAGACTGAATTTAATGGAATGTCTAGAGAAAGCGCTATTTAACAGGTTGACTCTTCATTAAGGTAACAGCATCACTTCCTGCTCGCCAACACTCAGATTACTGTGGGCGCACATTAACTCAAGCTGGGATACAAGAAAATGAGAGTGCCACAGCAAGAATGTTTACATAATGCGATGACACACTACAGTGTGCGCTCACCCAAACTTCCTCTCCTGTACTTGTCTATTTTAGGATGCTAAACTATAGGGTGTGTGGCCTCTAAATACTAAGTAAGAGTACAGTCTGGTCCCACACTGGGACCGGAAGTCCATAATGAGAGCATTCCAACCTCCTATTTCTTCATAGACAAGCAGTAACTGTGTATACCTAATATAAATTCTGTTTATTATGCACCTTATGGATAAATTATTGAAAACAAGAAATGGTGCAATTTGTTTGTAATAGTTTATGCTTGTATAAAATAATCCTATATTGACATCCCATACTTTTTTTTTAATTTCTTTGGCTAAATTAATTACATCACCACTTCCTGGAGCTCCATATTTGGAGTGCTGCTGTTTTTTTGGGGGTTTTTTTCCTGTCTTGGTGGAGAGTGGAATATTTCCATTTTACGAACATTCCTCACAATTTTACTCATTTAATCATTGCAGTGTACCCAAAAACCCACATAGAGCTGTGCTCCGAGATGTTTGCTGATAACGGAGCAGAGGAAATATAAAACAGTGCACAGTGGTTCACTAATGAATATGCAGCTCTTGCAATTTAAGTGGAATTTGCTTGCAGTTATAATTAGATTTCCTGAGAAAGGTGAATGTGGAAAGGGTAGATGGGACAAAGATAAGTGAGAGAAAGGGTCTACTCTAATATTTTAAGAGATCTAACTTAAAAAGAGATTTATTATCATGAGAGAATTATTATTATTAGATTTCCAGAATAGTTAAGGTTGATTGTTATTGTTAAAACTGTCAAGCTGTTTTGTAGTGTAGAATGCAATCTTTTAAATTACTTCACATTTTTATTTGATCACAAACACAAAATCAAGATATATGTATATATAAAATATATAATTATAACATAAACCGGGATGATACATTGCAGTTTTCTTTGATCAATAAAGTTCTTTAAATTGTGTGTGTGTGGGATAGAATATACAGTATGTACAGTATAAAATCATTACGTCGATGGAGAGTCCCCACAAAGATAGCGAACCAGACGTGTGTGTGTGTGGTTCAGGTAAACCCCACATTATGGGGAAGTGTCCCCACAAAGATGCCAATATCAGAAATTCTTTTTTTTGTTGTATTCCCATGAGGAAAACGGGTTATAAATCATACTACGTGATGTTTTTTGAAAATGTAAAAAAAAAAAAAAAAAAAAAAAGATGTGTTGGTTTGGGGATATAATATACAGTTTGTACAGTACAAAAACATATCTAAGTCCCCATAAAACATGAAAACCCAACACGTGTGTGTAATTTTTATTTAAATAAACCTAAATAAACTGATGCTCTGTAATCAAAATGGGTGCACGGTTAATAAAACACGCTGATCACAACCAGTTGGCAACTTTTCAAGGTCTGCAAAAGCACTTGGCGCCATCTACAGATGGCTTTTAATATCTGCTTGTAGCTTTGAATGTCAAAATTCCTTGTCCCTGGGCTGCTCAAATGGATGTGACAATCTGTCAAGTACCAGCAGGGTTTCTTCTTTGTTTCCCCCATAGATTTATTAACTATTTTGGAAGAGCACAACTAGACTGTTAAAGGAGTCATAATGTAGTATTAACTTTGATACCCACGCTCTATTATAGTCATTTCATGCCCTTCTAAAAAAGAAAAATTGGAAAAAAATAAACACAGAGCTCGTTTGACCCTTATTTCTGAATGCATTATTGTCTCGCGAGATCTGATGCGAGGTTTTGGCTGTCGTGGACGGTCATTTTAATAATGCAAATGAGGGGCGCGTTGATTGGTGGCAGGAAGGAGGGGGCTTGACACCGCAGGTAACTTCAGCATATCATTCCAAAATGAGATCATGGCACAAGTTGTGAATGAACCCGACCTGGCCGCGACCTACGGGATTCAACCGTATATGTTTGAGCCAGACTCTGAACCAGAGCTGGAAACGGAAGAGGAACAACAGTCAATTGAAGGACGTCTACATCAACATGTCTCTGAATGGTAAAGACAATTTTTTTGACTGAGACATACATTAACATCAGTAACGAGCTAAAACGTTTTTTGCTATTTTCTCCCACATAAGTTTAGCTTTAATTTAATGTAGATTACATTAACGGAGATGTAGTCTACTTTATTTTTAGCTTACAGTGGTTATAGAGATTAACGTTTGCTATAATGTGTTGTTTTTGCCTTTTTTGACGTTGTGGTTTTTTAGATATTTAATCATTTTCATCTGCAGACATGTAACGTTATGTTTTTCTTTATGTTTATTAATTCTTGACTGTTTTTTAAATTTATCTATCCTTATCTATTATATATATATAAAAAAAAAATCAATACAATGATATGTTGTCATTGTTATATTATATACGATTATATTAAATAATAGCTAACGTTACTGTAGTGTAAAACAAAGTGGAAAGATGTGACTAGCATTCGTAGAGTCCATTCCCCGTGTTTACATCACATACATTAACCGCATTAGTAGTTAGCTGCTGTTTGTTACACAAAATATAGTAATAAAAACACAGTCTTACAGTTTCAAATTCAGGCAAGTCCCTGATTGTTGGAATGGCACCTTTTTTCCAAACGTAGCTTCGATGCCAACTTCGCCTGATATTGCCCCAAATTTGTAAAAGATTCTTTTGTGAAATGTTTAGCGCAGACACCTAACGTTGACCAAGTTGAGATGGTTGTTGGAACAGCGTCATTAAAAATAAATTTCATCCACTGGTCCCTGGTAGTTTGGTCAGTTTTGGGTAAAGAAAAAACATTAGAATGTGGATTATGACAGTCAACCACAGAGCAACTCACGTGTGCACTACGTTTCTGCATCTTTCTTGACTGAATATGATGGGGAGAGGGGCAGGGCGGGCCTCCTCTGCGGTGTCCATATATGGTATATCCGGCCCCGTCTTGACGTCAAGTCGGGGGAGAAATTGAAATCTCGTATTTGAGTGCGCGTGCACGTTGGCTAGTTTAAGAACCCTGGGGTAAACAAACGCTTCACTTTTGAATATCGGCATCCCGGCCAATGTATAATCGTTAGTCAATCATAACATACATTGATTCTCATGGAAAAGTGAAAATTGCACATTATGACTCCTTTAAAAGAAAATGTTAAAAAAATGTAATCCAAAACTGGTAATAAAATGGAAAGTTAGTTCAAAGTATTACGGTGTTTTTTGGTGTCACTCTCCATCTCTCTGTTCTTCACCCCACCCCACCCCCTGTGAAGCTTCAGTTGGTTGTCTCTCTTTGTGGCCCAGTGCAGATGAATGGAATCTGATGTACAGTGCTGAGGGGGAGGCATAAGGGAGTCAGAGGTACTTTGACTGACTGCCTCTCGGTAACTTTCTGCAACGTGGAATTTAAAGATTCCTCCCATTTCTACCGGCAACCTCACAGCTCAGGTAAGTGTCAAATTTCCAATTTCTTGTTACTGTAATTGAATTAACTGAAGGATCACTTCTGAAATAATAAGGTAGTGTAAAAAAAAAAAACAAGCAAATCATGTTGGTGTCATCATTAAGAATATACATATTGCCATTTATTTGCATTTTTTAATTGCTATAGAGAGAGTACAACTTGAATCTATTTATTTTTGTACGTTTTCTAAGTATTTTATATGCTAAATATTCGGGAATTAAAATATGCACATACAAATAATTTAAGTCATTGTTGAGAAGTTTTCTTTGCATTTCTTCTTAAACTTGAATATTACAGGTTTATTAAAAAAAAGACATTTTATTAAATAACGAAAAGTTATTTATCATCTTCAGGAGAGCAGTATCTTCAGTTCATACCATTGCACCCAAGCCATTGTCCACATCAACATGGCCTATAATGGGCATATTGTCTCTGTGCAGGAGGCAAAAAGCTTGTGTACTTAGTCAACTCTTTTTCCAGTCTAGTAGCTTCCGATGTTTGCTTTGCCCCTCCGGACTTTGAATGTGACTTTTGAGCGGGGCTCATCTCTTGGGCCCTGTTGCCACGGCAACTGAGGTGGCTGATTTATGCCGGGGTGTCATGGCAGGGGTACGTCCAGCATACAGATGGAGAACTCTGAACCCTGTGTGAGAACGGCCCAGAGGGCAGTAAAGAAGAATTCTTAGATAAAAAGAATAGGGAATGGGAAGATCATGTCACTTCAAGTTTTTCAGGAAGTTTTAAGATAGGACACAGGACTGTGGTGACATCCATACAAATTATGTTTGTTTGATTTATTTATTTATTTTCTAGAAATGAAGAAAGACCTGTTTCTATTCTGCTTTTTGGTCTCTGCACTGGCTGCTTATGTAAGTAAAATATCCAAACATTCAGCACAAACATTCATTTATATAATAATTCTCTTCATCAGAATCTACAGCATCATGTCCAAAGGTCAAAGAACCAAATGGAATCAAACACCAACAAAAGACGTTTCCAAGAACATAGTTCAAAAAGCAAGTATGTGTACTGGGAATTTGAGAAAAGGAGCTTTTAGAAAGCCAATCAAATGATATCAAGTGTATAGATAGGGAACATTGTGAGCAGTAATGAAATCTGTTGTTATATATGACCAGGGTCAACCGAGAGGGTTTGACACAGCTAATCACAAACATAGCTATATATTTTTCTATTGCCTTACTCTTGGGATTGGAAAGGGAGTGGACTAACTCTTAAATGGAGTTCTGCTGGGCAGTAAATCAATCCCACAGTCCCAAGGTTGGTGATAGGATAATTGTGTAGCTTTAAAATGACAAAATGCCTCGCTTAAATCATAAGACTGAGGCATGTTTTGCAATTCAGCTAGGAGAATGTAATGTAAGTGGACTCTCGACATTAGTTGCTTATCAGGGTATGAAAGAAAATACTTCTCTGAAATAATATCTGCATTCCTCCAGGAAATTAGAACATGAAGAGAGCGGTTTGGAAAAGATAATCTCAAACAATTAAGTTGGAAGGAGATTACATGAAAAGCAATATGTATAATTGTATGAGTCGTGCAGCTGAAACAAGATTGTTGTCTGGGTAAATACAGTTGGTTCTGTAAAGATAGCAGCGAACATCACGTGCGGTAATGTGTGCATGTGTGGCACATCTATTGCAAACTATAAAAAAAAAAAAAAAAAAAAAAATGTGACCACTTTTTGCCACCTGGACATGGTGAGATGAAAGCTCTTTGACAGCTTAGCCTTAACTTTCATAAACCAAAACAAAAAGGCTAAGTTGCTTTTTTCCCCCTCTTTTTTTTTAGGTACAAAGTAAGCCTCATGGAAAAAATCAGCATGTCAAAAACAACCCAACTCCACAAGAGCAGGTGATCCTTAAAAAGTTAGAATTTTATATATAAACAGTTAATTCTCGAATTTGAGGACTTTTTACTCTTTGTGTAATTTTATATTTGTTTGCATGTTTTTTTTTTCAGTGACTCTTTAATCATTTGTAAATCCGTTTAAAAAATAATGCATTAAGGAATAAAACAACTGACTTTCTTTATAAACGAGTCATTGAATTATTCACTCAACCGAATTCAATCAGGAATCGTTTAATTTTTTTTGTATATTTTGTAAATATAATTTACTGTCTTAAATGTTTTCAATCTGGTATATGTACTTAAAAAACATTTGATTTTGTTTTTTAAGTCAGTGAAGCTTCTTGACAGTAAGGATGGAGTTCTGCCCACATTTCTGCCTTTTGAGTCCAGCTCTCAGGATGAGGACATGAGTGAAGAGAAGGAAAGCCATGTGGAGATGAAGCAAGCGGGGGCAGAAGAGCTTGAAGGTTCAGAGGGTGGTGAGAAGAATACACCTTTGCTCCTAAGTGAGGAGGCACTGACTCAACTCCTGCAGGTCTCAGAGGAGGCGGAGGAAACCATGGAGGAGGATGAAGGTGATGATGACAGTCCAGAAAAAGACAAAGAAGTTAAGGAGACTGAGGAGGAGGGAAAGGAAAAGGGAGAATCTACAATGGAGAATGAAGATGTAACTGAGAAGAGTGAAGGTGAGGATGCAAATGAGACCGACAGCAGTACTGAGTCAGAAATACCAATGGATTTGGACTATGCAGCTGACCGTGATGCGTCACAGCCACTATCCATCAAGCTAGAGGAGACCAAAGCTTCAACCATCAACACTATGGAAAAAGATGTGGCGGAAACAATCGAAGATGTGATCCCCACAGCCACAATGGACTATGATTCCCTGCAATCCATCAACGACCCAGGGAACATTGCAGAGGAACGGGAAGTGCCAGCAGAGCAAACACAAGATGAGCTGAAAGAGCCTTTTCAAGACTCCGAGAATGACAATGAAAAAAAGAAGAGTGATCAACAGGATGAGAAGGGCAGCATCGAACCTGAGACCACTATTCTTTCTAGTGGCAAGAAGGCAAAGAAAGAGAAGAAGAAGCAGAAGAATGAAAGCAATACACATGGAAAGGCCAAAGCCAAGAAGCAGCGAAACAACCAGCAGCTGGAGAAGATGCAGAGTGACCAAGCCAGTGCAATGGAAGCCAATGAGGAACGTGCACAGAGGCAAGACCCAGAAAAAGTGGCGGAGCCCACTGAAAACACAGAGCCTAAATCCAAAAAGAAGAATAGGAAATGGGTACCAAATGCATAACACATACATTGTTATTATAAAAATATAAAACGTGTGATTTTCTAGATTAATACAACCAGACTGTAAGCTTTGACAAGCCCCTGGTAGCTTATATATTTATATGTGCTTTTTGTAGATTTGAAATTCATTTCAAATGAATTATTATTTGCCCACTTAAGTAGTTTTAAATATAAATTCACCAAACACTGCAAACGGTTTAACATGCTATTCACGCCATAAGCATTTACATTATTTACGTCATTGTTATTCAGTGAAAACAATATTCTTGCTGATTTGACCTCAAACACAATAGTCGGCAGTTCTGTTGTGAAATGTCCACTGATTAGTTATAATAAAGACTTGTTTTCACATGGCTCCTTGCACAATTAAGTTATGACCTCAAAACACTTTTTTCCATAGTGCATGATTTGTAAACGAATATATTTTGGAGTTTGCATCACTTAACCAGCTCCATATGTTCTGTTGTCTGACGTAGGCTACTAAGGTACGCTCGGGTACGAATCCCGTGAAAAGCCCTATTCGGACGGGATTAGAGTGGTGGGGTAAAGTAATTATTACCAGACCTTCTCAATGATTTTAGTCCCGCCCGAATGTGCCAAAAGATGAGTCAAGATAAAAGAGCTCAAAGAGTCCAAAAACAAGTTAAAGTTCGCGTTTTCATGTCACATTTGCTTTTGTTAACACTGTCAACCGCTTCCAGTTTTAAACTTGAATTTGTTGTCTTATTGTTTTAATTCATTATCGACATCATAATTATCTGGTTTGTGTGTGGAAATAGTTTTACCTTTTACTGCACTTTCTTATTCTACTAGTTTACCATATAGCGGCAATGAATCGGAAGTCTCACACATTCACAGGAAAACAGCTTCTATGGAAAAGCAGGTGTACTAGTTCAAATGTGTTTGATATATTGCTCTTGCAAATAAAAATTGGTTGTGCCTCTTTACAGACTCGTTTGGTGGGGATGAATCCTGTACAGATTAGGGCCACTATGGAGCTTTACCCTGACATTCGGCCCAGCAGACAGGGGGAGCCAGCTGGTGAGTGTTGTTTCTGTCTCCATAGCGCCGAATTCTTATTAGGAATCTGCTGAGCAGAGTTTTTCTTTAACAGCCTGTTAAACCGACCTGGCTTAAGAAGTCAATGAGAGCCTTAGCCCCTGGTTTATGCTCTATCCAAACCAACAGATGCAAAGGAATGTTGGCACTTTTTTACAGGGTGGTTATATATAACCTTTATTAGATGTCTCTTTGAGACCCTTTTTAACGCAGCAGTGATGCCTGAATTGAGGATACACAGTATTTTATAGAATATTTGCACATTCTTTCATTGTTTTATCCAGACCCCTGTGAGAACTTTCGGTGTAAAAGAGGAAAGACATGCAAAATGAACGATGAGAACAAGCCCGTCTGTGTGTGTCAGGAGCCGTCAGAATGTCCTCCCAGTGTAAATGATTTTGACAATGTAAGTATGTGTTATCTTGCAAATTAATCTGTTAATTTTAATTCAACTGATTACAATAAAAGGGCTTTATTTCCAAATATTTATTTCATTACTGATTAAACCTTTAAGTAACATATATTGATTAAATAAAAAAGCATAATAACATTTGCTAATAATAAGCTGTTGGCATCGGGACATCTTCACTTTAGGTTTGCGGAACTGACAATAAGACATATGACACATCCTGTCAGCTCTTTGCCACCAAGTGTAGCCTTGACGGGACCAAAATAGGCCACAGACTTCACCTGGACTACTCTGGGTCCTGCAAATGTAAGAAACACTTCTGACATGCTTATTTGAATTGTTAGCACATGCGATGTAAAATGTGGTTGGCAGGGATGCTAATGTGATTAAAGCTGCCGTCGGCAACATTTTTTTGATCATATTCAGTGAAATCGACACTATAATCTGACAGAACAACATAAATAAAGTGGTTTTAGAAAAAAACCCGAGCTTCTAACTCCACCTGGAGCGTGTTATTTGTTTTGCAAAAATCCACCGCTCCCGGATCATCGGGTCCAATCAGCGCAGGGGGGTGTGAGATCTGACTGTCAATCACAGATCGGGCACACGCCACCCCTCGCGCACGTTACAATCACATGGCATGCACACGCCTGAAGTTCGCGGAAGTTCGCGCAGTAACGAAGAGTGATGGCGGAAAATCAAGTAAGCTCATTTAGAGTATAAATGACGTCAGCAATTGCAATCTATCGGTAGATTAGCCAGGACAGCATACCTCCAAATACTCCATGGTGTTGATGGATGCTGATGAGACGGGCGCGTTCACAGATAACCTGGTGCACACGCACTGACGAGCACAAACTCGGTGGGAGGGTATCCGTTGATAGTGGGGGAGGGGCATGAGAGTTGTAAACATTAAAAATGTTCCTAAATCCACTCAATCTGCCAGACTTGCCGACTGCAGCTTTAATAATTTTAGCAACCCATGTTTTTCATTAGAAAAAGCCCCTAGTAATATTGTGTCTGAAGAGATGTACGCATTTGTGTTTTAGATGTAGTTTCCAAAGAGATCTCGACAATGTCAACAAAATTACATTTTGGTTTAGCAAGACACCAAAGTCTGCAATAAAAATCTAGAAAATTTTTCTGAGCTATCCATATTAGTATTACTATTTAATATTTCCATTTAATTTAATATCATAAGTTCTATACACTTATGTATATCTAATTTTTTTTTTAATGTACATTTTAACCCTTAAATGTATAATTGCATAAATGTTTCTCAAATAATTATTACACATTCGGGTCTTTAGCGACCCAATTCTATAACACGGGTGGATCTCTGGTGAAAAAGAATTTGGTATGGGAGAATTTTTTTTCCCCAAATCTTTTGCGTTCCCTCGCAAAGATATTTGCGTTCCCACGCAAAACCTGATGTGAGCTCGGGCAGAAATCCTCCTGTTTAATGTCCCGCTGCCAGTGTTTCAGAGCTCCGTTAATGGAGCGTTTCATAGTGTTTGAACTTGGACTCAAATATAAAGAAATGCGGTCCGTGCTTAAAGGTGCTCTAAGCGATGTTGGGTGTCGTCACTTCTTGTTGACGTTCGAAGTATTGTAAAAAAACAAAACGGAGGCTAGCTAGACCCTCCCTCCTCCTCATCCCGTCCCCTCCCCCTCCCTTATGTTTGTTAGGCGAACATGAACGTCCATTTAGAAAAACAAAAAATGGATTTACCTGCCCAGCAAAAACAGAGACCGTTACCTGAATGTCGGATTGGAAGCCCTTCTGCCGGCGGAGTTCTCGCCACCTTTCGAAGGCTTTTCCAATGTAAATTCGGGACTCCGCGCGTTCCTTATCCTTTTCCCTCTTCTTTGCAATTTGTTCATCGGAACGTCGTCTCTTTGGTCGTGTGTCGGCCATATCAAACTTAAAGAGAATATAATTCTAACTTCCCTCTTCATGCTTCTCTCTCCTCCACACCCCCTTCATGTGTACGCGCACTAACCCCCCAAACCCTTCTTGTCGGTTATTGGCTGGAACACTGTTTATTTTTTTTGTGGTGTGGGTTGGCCCAGTTTGTTTTTGTTGCCTTTTATGGAGCCTGGGGTGTCTACAGAGACCGCATTTTTTTTTACAGTGTGTTCAGGGGACAGGCAGCTAGCAGATAGTGAGGAGTTGTTTGCTGTATGTGACAAAAAATGCTTTGGCCTAAAAAACGCGTGCCATCGCTTAGAGCACCTTTAAAGTAACACTATGTAGTTTTTCAACCTTCATAATATATTTCCAAGACCCTTGTGATGGTACATCGACTTACAATAGGTTAAATGACACGTCTGCCATAGCCTGACGTGGTCTGTATCGCTTTTACTTGCACTATGTAACTTCGGGTTTCGGGTAGTAACCCGAGCACAAAAAGAACTACAAAATTCGACTGCTTTACGGCATACGTCACTTCCCCTACCACTTCCTCAAATTGTCTGTGGCCTGGGAGTCTCCCGCATATTGATAGCGTCTCCCTGATGCCCGCAAATTAGTTCAAATCTCTCGGAATCTAGAGCGCGCATGTGAGACAGAACATACTGCGCGCATAACATACATAGCGCGAGCACGGCAGAGAGGGAGAGAGCGAGAGACCTTGCGAGTGTGCCGCCACCCCCCGTCAACAATCCAGTCACCAAGATAGACCTCCCTGAAATTACTTCTTGCAGGTTGGGATGTCTGCCATTGTTGATTCCAAAGCCGGTGCTGGATAAACAGCGAGCGTGCGCGTGCGACAGTAGGCTGCGGTAGGCTAAATTATTTACGACAGCAGTAATGGACAATTCTGTTTCCAACCTGTAGGGTGACCGCTGAGGAAAAGTTACTTGGTGTTGCTTTAACTGGAGTTATAGCCATCACAGATTCGAACTTCCCGGATCAATAAAGAAGGTTGATGTCTAACTTTAAAAAATAAATGCGGAGGGGGGTAGTGATGACGTCCTGGGTAACTAAAGACCTGAGGTATGCGTTTAAGGGTTAATATAGTTGGATACAAGGCCACTTTTGGCCCCGCAACCAAATGTAACCAATTTAAGTTTGACCACCTCTGCACTTTATATATCTTCTTTTGTTTCATTTTTGTCTATTTTTATTTCTCCTGGCAGTTATTGCTCCATGTCTAGAGTCAGAGCTGGTGCAGTTCCCGCTGCGTATGCGGGATTGGCTGAAGAACGTGCTTCTGCAGTTATACGAGCACGACTCCATGTCTCCTGGCTTTCTCACAGCTAAACAAAGAATCAGGGTATGTCTATAAGGGATACTGGACAGACGGTTATTTATTTAGATATCGCATGTCTCCTAAAGAGACAAATAGTAGTTTTAAGACAAGGAACTGGAGACAAATTTCACTAAGCTCCCCAACTTCTGACAGTAAAAAAATAAACGTAGATGTACTACTTTGGAAAATAGCTCTTGACTGTATCTAAACCATCAAATGTGAACGAATGACAGATGATGAATGCTCTGCTCAACAGGTTCAGAAGATCTATGAGAGCGAGAGGCGTCTTCATGCAGGCGATCACCCCGTCGAGCTTCTACAGCAGGACTTTGAGAAGAACTACAACATGTACATCTATCCAGTGCACTGGCAGTTTGCACAAATGGACCAACATCCTTCAGACAGGTGGGGTGGCTGAGGTTCTGTACAAATTTCGTCTTGCAATATTGTTTTGTTTATCATAAAGAGGAAAGCCCAATTATCTCTGTAAACGAAGTTGACAAATTCACTTGACATTTATATTGGCTGTTAAATGCCAGTCTTGCAGAGCCAGACGCTGTGCTAAAAGACTGATAAAAATATCTGCACCCTGACTCCTGAAAGCTATCCAATCAGATCAGTGCGATTTTGGGAAATGCTTGCCATTTTGGAGTGCATTTGTGAATGGTTCATGAGCAGTTCGTGGGCAAGACGTCTGAGGCTGAGACTATTCTAATTTGAACTTACTCATACAGGAGGTTCAGTAATATTTTTAGCTGGTGTGAGGATGTGGTTGAGGGACATTTATAGAAAAAGAAACACTCAGCGCCAGTATCCTCCACAACGTCAGTGGTCAGCCTTTGAGACAGAGGCCTTAAAGCTGCAGTGTGTGCTTTTGGGGAAAATCTGCCTGTGAATCAATTACTTATAGATGTATTACACTACAGGGCATGACATCAACTTTTTTTCTCACCCCCCACTGTGGCTAGTGGTTTTCCAAAGTTTCTAGCCACTTAGCATTTTCACTGGCCACAATTTTGACATCGATACCAGGAAAAATCTGCCATAGAGATATTTAAAAAATGATCTCATTTTGCAGCAGGTATATTAGGCTGCTGTCACTTTAAGATGTGACGAATGTACCCATTAAACTGTTTTATATAGCCAATATGTGTCTTTATGTGCACTGCACACACTTTGTGTGTGAGCACAAAATCTGCAGGAATGAGTAAAATTATGCTCAATACGCGCAATCCCATGCCAAAATTCAAGCCCTGTAAGTAACACCAACAATATTCATCTGGAGCAAATTAAACCAGTGAGTACAGGGACAAGGCTTTGTGTGTCACTCGCTGTCAGAGAGATTAGAGAGCGAGAACGCGCAGCTGGTATATTGTTTATATATTCTGCAGAAGAGTTTCAGATATTTCAGCATCGATATGTAGCGAAAAAACTATATTTTTGACAACACTAGATTGCACTTAGTTTATTATTTCAGATGCCTTTTTAAAAGACTACAATTGAAAAAAATGTATATTATATAAAATCAGTTGCCAAAGTTGCTAGTAGGAGTGACTGCGTTACACACCACCGCTGAAATCCAGCCGCATTTGGCGGGTGTTAGTCAAGCCCTGCTTGGATATAAGAAAATTACACTCTGCAGTTTTAAGAATCTTGTGTTGGTTTGTGATTTCAAAGAAAAGGTTCTATACAGAACCTGAAGGGTTTTGTCAGGCACCCATCATGGGATCTTTTTATGGATTTAGTTTTTATTAATTTTGTTATTGTATACATTTTAATTGTAATTCAATTTCATGAATTAAACAGGTCGTAAACATACTTTGTCTCTAGAATAAAAAAACAAAAAAACCTGTCAAACACAAAAGTATTTATGTAATCATTTAAGACATTTCTCCTTATATAGAACCTTTTTGCCATATAGCATAAAGTCAAGAACCCATGTGGTTATATATAGAAGCCCATTGAACAGTGTGGACATGAAGTATGTATGTTAATTACAAGTTTTTTCGTCTGTCTTCTGTTAATTCATTTTTGTCCTCATGACAAATACCTAATTCATGATTGTTTCACCAGTGGATATTTATAATACTGTTGCAGGATTCTTTCTCACTCTGAGCTGGCTCCTCTGCGCGTTCCCCTGGTTCCCATGGAGCATTGCACCTCTGTCTTTTTCCAAAAGTGTGATGCTGACAAGGACAAACTAGTCTCCTTCAAAGAGTGGTGCAGCTGCTTTGGCATTAAAGAAGGTAGGATGATTTTAAAGGCCTTGCCTTAAACAGCTCAAGGAGTTATAAATGTATTATTAAATGTATGTATCTACATACAATAATAAATGTATTATTCCCGCCGTCGGTGTATGAATGAGTGAGTGAATGGGTGAAAGTGAGGCTATATGTAAAGCGCTTTGGTGGCCATTGGGTCTGTGAAAGCGCTATATAAATGCAGTCCATTTACCATTTTTACCATTTATTCATTCTTTTTAAATGCAGTATTTATGCACACTTTTTAAATGAATCCAAAACTTTATAAACAACCCAGGTTGGTTTTTCAACTTTCTCTATATTTTCTTTCCTACAGAGGATATGGATTCTAATCTGCTGTTCTGAGCATCTCTGAGCTGCAAAAGGAGCAACTGAAGGTTGTGTTTTCTTTGAAGAAAGATATAGATAATCCTGGAGGTCTGTTTGTTCAGTGAAATGGTACAGTTTTTTTAATGTGTAATGATCATGATGGACAAGAATATCTAAAACTCTTTTATTTTGTATGCATTATATTGTGTAGCATGTTGGTTAATAAAATTAACTATAGTTAATGATTTAGCCAAAAAAATAAAATAAAAAAAGTGTAGTTTTAGTTTGAGTGTTTTTGTATGCATTCCAGTGAGGGAAAAGTTTACATAGTGAATAAAAGAACAAAATAAAAGTGATTTTATAAAAATGTTTCCAATTTTTTTCAGATAATGAAGAAAAATGCCACTCTATGTGCTTGTTGTTGAACAGTTAGCATATTTATTCCAAATTATATTAATTATTAAATGAAATGAATCAAGAATTATTTTTTTAATCCATCAAGCATTTTTTATGCTCATGTAAAATAAATCTTAACCATGACTTCCTTAAATTGATAACTGATAATCATTAAAATCATTAAAGTTCCGGTTCAATTTGCATAGCAAGTTTTATGTCCTCTGTCACAAGCCTTGGAAGCTTTGTTATGCACACTTACAACGGTTACTGTATTTGGAAAAGAAATGTGTGGGTTATGACCACTGTAATTAAAACAAATAAAAAACTGTGTCTGGAACAAACCCTTAGGAAGTCATTAAATTACTTCGGTCAGAACTGTGTGCCTAAGTGTGCAGCACGATTCAATGACTTCTGTGTGAGCAGTTGATGCATGGACGTTTTCTCTGCCTCAATGCAATGGAGTACTTCATCATTTGAGAACAATGATCTCGAATAACCTTGTATTTAATCAGTTTTTATAGCACTCCATAAAATCAGAAATTTGTACTAAAATGATTAGGAAATCATTAAAGCTGTCACCTAAAGCTGTATGAGACACTTGTAAGCTCCTGCGACCCTTAAGTTGTTGGTGGATGCATGGACAAATGCTCTGTGTTTTTCTTCTTTTCTTTTCTTTTCTGTAAGATGAATGAATAGGCCTACTTGACCAAAAAAAAAAAAAAGAAAAAGGAATACGCACAAAAAAGAAGTTCATAGGCTACTTAAAAGGAATCACTTTTGAACTATTTGATTTCCTCCTTACCGCAGTCTTTCTTGAGTATTGGTGTCAGTATCTCCCAAAAACAGAATTTCCACAAGAAGTTAGTTTTTTTTTTTTTTTTGAGGCAGAGTAAAAGAATTGAATAATTTTAGTTTGATTATGGATTTTGCATGCACATTTCTGCACATTCTCTCTGTCAGGTTTGATAAGATCACCTGGTGCTAAGATTTCAGATTTCAGAGGAAGATAGTCTAAATAAAAAACTGCAGGAAGGATTCTGGAGAAAAGTAAAAAGATCGAGGTCAGTGGTGGAACAACAAAGATAATGCTAAAGACAAGCCAACGATAAGCCTACTGTTGACTATAGAAATACTCGAAATCACTGAAACATCTGCATGTGTTTTACTGTGCTGATCATTTATAGGCCTTCACGCTAAGGGAAAAAGGGAAGCTACTGTATGACACGACCCAAAAAAGAACAATGCATTTTACTAATTCATCTTCAAATTGAAGACATAAAGTGATCAATATTTCATTTAGTCTTCAAATAGATTAAATCAGTTCATCAATCTTTAAAGCTTCTCTTCCAATTAGAAAAACTGATTGTCTAACCCTAATGTAAGATAGTTGTCTGGCATAGCCTATGCATTTCAGCATTTCCCATTATTTAGATGTAGGAGTTTCTGAGGAATGTAGCCTATATCTTGTTCTGTAGGTTTGTTTTTATAAATGAGGGAAAAACAAATATTAAAACTCTTAATTAAACATTCTTAATGAGAGCAATGTTTTGTGATATCATTATCTTCTATGCTTCTTGATTAAACGATTGTCTCTAAAGTCAAATTTCTTGGTCGGTCCTCATTAATAGCCTACATAAATAGTAAAGGCCTGGGAGTGGGTGTAATACAATATAAAGCGGTAGCTACAATTTTGTTTCTTACAAATATATTAGTCGCAAACAAAAACAGGCGCAGAGGTCTGATTTAATGCGTCAGTTCACGTGTCTGCGTCAGTTGAATGTGCGCACGCTTGCGGCAACGTCACGCTTGGTTTAAAATGGGGCCGGTTGTTTTACTTCTATGAGCGATTTTGCGGCGAGGAAGAAACCGAATATAAATTAATGAGTGTAAACTACTTATCGCAGTCCCAGACAGACATTGTTGAATGAGTTGCATGTCTTCATCTGAGGTAAATCCACACGCGCACTCTCACAAATGTTTTTGCTCTCACACAATTCATTTAGGCCCGTTTAACAGTAGGCCTGTCTTTTTTCCATTTAGTTTATTTCCTGTTTCTATAGGCTATAGCCTACATAAACACATTTACACAAATAAATATATTTAATAAAATAGTTTAACACACATTCACTTACTTTGAACACGCCCGCTTTTGACAGTCCAGTACAAAACAGCCTCTCAACAATGCTGTAATGCAAATGTTTCATATTCATGGTAGTACATTGAGTAGCCTATTCGAGTTTTTGCACAAAATGGAATGTCATTTGCGAACAGTGTAATCAAGAGATTTGACGTTTATGGCGCGGCCTACTCATTACTTGGATGTGCTAGGCTACTGTAAACTGACAGCTCGAGTATATGAACAATTAGAAACACTGATTTAAACACTAAAATGAAATGGAAACACCTTCCCAGTGCCCACAAGAATGATCATTGCAATTACTTTTCCAATAGAGGGCAGCATAACATCAGCGCAATGTTGGTTCGTGACTGCATTAAAATACTTTGAGGCTAGTTAACAAGTTAGCGTTTATTAATCACAACTCTTATATTTCAACATTCTTTAATAATTTAAAGTGTTCTTTTTTGTTGTGTGTTTTTATCCAATATGTCTGAACATGGATTTGCAAGTCTGTTTTGAAGCCCTCTGAGGTTTCATCAGGTCTTGCTCTGGTTCTTGAAAACATGTTAGGCGTCTGAATGCTAAAATTACTCTCTTAGGAGAGGATGTTCAAACATGATCTTCGCCGACTTCTGAAAACCAATGTTAGCAGTGGCATATTTGTTTGGCCGTGGCCCCAGAGCATTGTATGAATTAGATGAAACAGCTAATGGTGTACAGCAGGTGAAACTTCAAGGCTCTCTGGCACTTTAATGGAGTACGAAGAGGGTGCATGTGAGATGTGCTGTTTGGGAATGCAGTTAGAAATTGTGTGTTTGTGTGACTGGAGTAGCATCTGACTTAAACATCCCCCTTTGATCCCCCATCCAGCTCTTTGTGAGAGTTTCCTCCTGGTATCATCCTGTCCATTTAGCGATCACTGCTGTAAATTACAGAGGAAAGAGGTCATGTGAAACCATGCCATACATTTGGAAAATTGTGTGTCATTATGGTGCATTATCATAGTTAGCTATTTTGTGTAAGATCATAAAGGTATGCATGGGTTTTTGTGTGTGTGTGTGTGTGTGTTGGTCTGAGCTTAAATCTGGTACATTTCTTTTTTCTTTTTCCTTTTAACTTTGATTAATGAATTATTTATAGCCTATAGATAGATGAAAAGCCTCAATATTAGAAGCCCAGTCTCCTCAGGTCATACCTAGTTGTTTTGCCAGAGATTGTCAGTTTATTGATTTCACATTAAGCTCACAACCTTCCTGCCCTTTCTAGCTCTGAATATTCAGATGAATTTTACTCCGCAAAGAAGACCTCATTAAATATTCATGCCACTTTATCAGCGCAATCAACGAGCGTATTTACTTGTTCGCTAAAATACCATTCTACAAAACCATCTCAGTTCTGACTACCCTTTTGAAACATTGTTTAATTTGACCAAGGAAAAGGATAATGAGTGTTCCTGCACATCTAAGCCAGGCTGCTGCAGTTGGTCCATGTAACTGGCTTACATGCAGCTTGTAAATTGATTTTTTTTGAGTCGCACAAGGTTCAAGGTTGGGATGAAATGTCCTTCTAATGGAATTAAAATTCAATTCAATCAAATGCAGTTGTACTAAAAGCTGTTCATCCAATTTACCCTCACCCCTCTAGCTTGTTTTTGGACACCTCTGTTTTAAATGAGGCTGTAGTTTTATTCTAGTATTTTATTTTATTGTATTTTTTAAAAAGTTGTGTGGTTAGCATTGCCGATATGCTGAGTCTATAAATAGGCTAAATGTTATGAAATTTAACATCTGTTACTATAGTGTTAATATGTAGAAGTAGTATTTGACTGTTATATTTGAGTAATATCTGAACCTATTCAGTTTTTTTCACATTCCGTATGTCATCACAGTGAGTGTTATCATTAACTAAAACTATTTAAAACCATATTTACTCGTGGAAATAGAGCTGAAAAAAGTGCAATATAAATATAAGATGAAAAAATAAGCAATTTCTGAGAAACACTGTTGATATTTGAAATTAACCCAAACAAACACAGGTAACACATTAATTGATATAGTTACACGCTACGTGTACTTTCTATATATCTATAAATTATGCATAATTACAAGTTACTAACCCTAACCGTAACTCTATAGCAAGTATATAGCTAATTGCTCCACCCCCAAAATGCACAAACAGACAATGCAAGAGTGAATGTCTTTTTATATAATAAAGCGAAGATAGCGAACAAATGACAAGGAAGAACTAGGGCTGTCGCGGTGAAGGAATTTCCCTTGCGGTATTTTGAGTGGCTCAATAGCGCGATATGCGGTATTACCGCCATTTATTTATTTATTTATTTATTTATATTCATTTGTTGCTATATAAATACGTGTTATGATGTGGTCAGCATACACAAAAACAATGTAACCAATGTAACCGAAACTAAACAGGTTCTCTGCGCATTGAAAGACTGTCACTCAGCGCACAGTTAAATTGTTACGCCAACGGACTCTCTTTGAGTGAGTCATTAAACCGTTCATTCAACGAAAACGTTCAAAAAAGCTGATGCCTTAAATTATAGATGTAATGAAACAAGGTGTTAATTATTTTTTAACTTTGAGCTCCACTTTTCAAGGCTCAGCTGGCCAGCAATGCTTCACTTTTGGGCAAAGCTGAAGCAATGCTTCACTTAATAGAGACTAATGGCATTGATTCAATGCGAG